CAATATTGAAGATTTAACGCGATTTAATTCATTCGGGAAAATAGCTTATATGTCACGGCATAGTACTTCATTAAGCTGACAGCTTGAAATAATAATATTCTTTAGTAAAATAGAGTAATGTTGGTTGGACGTGAGCTCATGGTATGCTTTATTTATGCATAGTAAATTTAGCTCGAAAAAATGTTAATTAATGAAAATTCCGTAAAATATTCTCTTTCTAATATTTTCTTGCAATATAACAGAGATATATTTATTTTTTTAGAGGAAATTCGATTTCTTTTCAAAACGAAGAAAGTTTGCTGTTATTTTACGTTTTGTACAGTACACTAAATTGACCGAAAAAACGGAAGTAAACATTGAAATCAGACATTGTCGCTTTTCTTCCCGAATATTATCCCGATTGAACCCAAACCCAAACAGCTCACCAAATGCAATTTTATGACAAAGTTTGAAGGATTTTGAATTATCTCATTTTACCAACCTTGCTCGACGGTCTCGGAAAACCGCTCTTAATTCATTCATTTACAGAAGCTTCTTAGCAAATAAATACGACATAGACTGAAAAAATGGCACCACATAAAACGTTAATGTACAAAACAATCACTTTTTTGAATGCATCACTAGCCATATAGACCAGAAAAATTGCTATCAAAATTAGCACACGAATGTTTTATTCAGCTGATGTCGACTTTAGACCAATATCATGCTTATCGACATAATGAAGAGCTTGAAAAAATAAAAAAGGTTAACCATCAAATTTTCCATTTCCAAAATGGTTGATTTCCAAATGCTCAAAAAGGAATTTCTTAAGTCGATGGAACTATGATTTTAAGTCTTTAAAAAATAGGATTTCAGTGATAATAAAATATACGTTGAAAAAAAAATGGTTCATTTCCAAATGCTCAAAAAGGAATTTCTTAAGTCGATGGAACTATGATTTTTTTTACATTTTCTTAGCATATTTAATTATCATGTTTGTTGATATGATTTTCCTATCCTCATTGATGTAATATGCACGATTTCACTCGCGCAGGCATACAGAAAGAACTCAATTGAGTATATTGCGTAGCATGCTCCCCTTGGGGAGAGTTTTAGGGTTCAGATCGAGCAGATTAGGCACCACAGACTGACATGGCATAACAACTTAATTCCATCAGATCAACTATGGCTGAAGTTAGTCAGAGACAAGGGAGGTAAATGTATAGTTGAAGGTCATTGTATATTATCTTTTATTCTCTTGCATAATAATATTATAAAATTGACATTATGGATACTTATTCCAGCCTATTCTTTATTAAAGGAGAATTATAAATTAATGTATTGATTAGCATATTCATCAGAAAGATGAGTTTAAAAGCACTGTGTTTTCCTTGAGTACAGGAGTAAAAAAAGTATCTAAAGTCATAGAATACTTTGTTAATAAAAAGAGTTCACTTTGAAGTGAGTAGAACTGTTCTTTTTCTGATTTTCAAGTGAAAGCAATTTTAATTTAATTTAATTTTAAAAAGTCTTATGACATTATTAACTAATTTAGCTGTGTTTTATTAATTTTCAGTACTTATATCCAAATAGTGCTACTCACTTTTTTAGGTGTTTGTACTCTGCAAACTATGCAACAATGAGGATGGAAATGCAATATCTGTACATATTGATTATGGAAAAGGCCCATCTTTAATCCGATATCTTGCAAGTGAACTTACTTGCCATGTCTTGCCGCTTATTGAAAGTTCTTTATTGATATCTGTCACACTTGACCACAAGATTCGAGTAACGTGGCAGAGGCCTGAGCTGTATGCCAAAATTTTAATTAAGAGGAGAGGACAATGGCTAGCAGCTGTTGTTAGAGCAAGTAAAAGTATCCGATGATGGAGTTATTTTTTTTTAGCTTCACCTAAAACATATTGATGTTGTGTTAAAATATCTTTTTATGTGCTGTAATTTTTAAAGACATAATACAAGTGCGTAGTCATTTCTAGTTTCTATCATGCATCTAGTTTCGATGCTCCTAATATTGCTTTTAATTTGAGCGTGAAATTGCATTATTCGCGAAATTCTATACTTGCTGGAGCAGCTCTGCGAACTTGAAGAAGATTTGCTTAGTCGATTCCTATAAGTCCATATGTTTACTAGCATGTTATCATGTTTTCAGTTAAATTAAGACCAGAAAACAGCGTCCAATTTAGACCAAACCATAAGGTTTTACGAGTATCATCCGTCGCCATCATATGACATATGTTTCTGTGTGGTGTTGGAATCTTTGCAAAAAAAAACACAAAAAACCAGCAATGAACCTCACCTTCTTGCATGACTTCTCTTCGTATGTTGCCCATGTGTGCAAGCCCAGAAAAGATGCTGGGACTGCTGTTAAACAGACAAACAGGTCAGCAGTTTGCCGCGAGTTTCGAGGTAAATTTCGAAATGAAATAGTATGTCGAAAATCCTTGACGTTTTAAGCTGTAGTGAAAAAGTAACGGTCTCTACAAACCACTGCTTGAATTATAAAAATGAAAACGTAGCATTTAAAGTAGAAAGTCCTCAAACAGTGCTGAGGAAGTGGCATGATTTGAGAGAAAATGTGGAATTGAAAAAGCACACAAATGTTGTTATTCTCAATGCTCTTATCCATCAATACCAAATAAGAGTGAAAGATTCTGAAAGGATGAACGGCCTACTTCGATGGCACTGCAGTGAGAGCAAAAACCAAATACTGCAAGCTAAATGGAAGGTCAAAAGCAGAGTTTTTGCAAACAAGAAAAACATTACTATCTGTTATGAGGAGCTTGAAGAAGTCACAAAACAAACAGTAGACAGCGTGTGTGCAGAAAAAGAAGCTCTCACTGAAAGGTGTGAAGTCCTTTATCAGTAGCTAGAAAAGCATAAAGAAATATCTAAAAATGTTGAAGAAATGCAAAGTGAAAATAAGCATCTACTGCATTACATCAAAAATGCAGGTTTGGCTATGGACTCATGTAACACTGGAAAAAAGCATGTTGAAGTACAAGGACGACAGCAATGCCGGAAGCTAAAAGAGCTAAAAACAGGTGTTGAAAGAGCACAATGGTTTGCAGACACGTATGGCCTGAAACTTTCAAGTGCCAGTTTTTGTGATAAGAATGGGACTAAACATGGAATGACTTTCAATAATACAACATCTAAAAAATTTAAAGATCTTCCAGAAGATGAACAAAAACAAGCTTACAGTCAAACGACCTGAAGCGTGAACACATAGACATAAATAATAGATTCATTCTTCGAATATTGATTTGATTATTTGATTCGAATCATTGATACGAACTTTTCAATATTCAAAACAAAAATAGTTTGAAATCTCGATTGATGATTGCAATAAGTCTTCCTAATATGGGCAAAATAACACAGCAAACCTAACTCCAAGAAACTACATGACAAAATGGCGGCAACAACAGTGGCGGGAAAGGTAAGTCAACTACTGGAATTGATTGTAAAACTTTTGATTTTGACAAAAACGTCACATCAAGCTATGCTCTCAGCAGTGTCCTCCTGTTGCCATAATAATTGAATGCATTCCTTGTCTAGGACGAAGTAAAAAAAAGTCCTTGTCGAAATTGAAGGAATCAAGAGGCGGTACGACATAACAGGGGATATGAGTAAAAGCGACTTACTCAATGCCGTCTTTAAGACGCGCCATCCGGAGGAGCGGCTGTTGTTACAGAGATTTGATAGTGAATGGGAAGAATACGTAGATGTTGAGTTTTGCGAGATCAAAGACCATGACAAAATAAAATTCATAATACTCAATAAAGAGAGTCAAAAATACCATGATTCAAATTGCAGTGAAACACAAATAGTTAATTCACAGGAAGGTTCTATATCCGCTGCGGCAGTTAACCATCTTATAACCAATTTGGAAGATGAGAGAAGTTCCTTGGAGTTCCGCATGAATATGGCCAAGGCCACCGTGTCATCTTTAAAAGAAGTTCCCAGACCTAGACCTCTCTTAGGGAGGAACAAAGGCTTTACATGTAGTAACTGTCACTACAAAGGGCATAGGATGTCAACTTGCCAACAACCAACTTGTCAGGGATATTTTGAATGTGGGCAGCTTACACTCCACAAAGAACATCGAGATTTGCTGAAAGAAGTGAGTATGCATGTACAAACTGTTTTAATATATCCAACCTAACTTCCACCATGGTTATTACTGTAATAACTTTTATAGTTTTTGTGTTGACTCCATTCTTGTGTTGACTCCAAGATGTCGTTTAAGAAATGCCTATAAGCAAAATTACTCATATGCTAACTGCATTTATTACAATTTATCGATTTATCATTTTTATGAAAATCTTTGTTTCTGAATATGTTAATTTGTGCATTTATGAGTGTGGAAGCTCAAAACATAACTACTGAAGAAATATTTAATTAGCATTGAATTATTTACATGTAAATGCTTCTCCAAAAAAAATACAAAATCACAAATTTCTAAAGTAAATGCATATTACTTTCTTGCTTGCCAAGAAATGAAAAGATGATAAGTTATCCCATTTTCACACAAGAGCATTTAATTAAAAAGAAAATTTTCTGGAACTCGGAGTATTTACATATGTAGTTGTATATGCAAATTAGTACCTAGGAAAAAAGATCATTTTTTCTATGTGCAAGTGTTTTGTTTGCAATGAAATTCGGTATAATAGCTAAGCTAGGCATGAGCTTTACAAAGAAATAAAAATTAGTCTGGGCAACTCACTTTTAGTTGCGTAGGAATGACTTATTCTAGTAACAATTATTAGCGTAAAGACATATTTTGTCAGTTGTATTAACCGAACAATTTTCAAAGCTTATAAACATCTAATCAACATTAAATGTATTTTATTAAGATACAAAGGGTTAAAGTGTATATGCCTCAAAAATTATTAATGCTCTAAAATGTTAAACTAGAATCGTAATTATGAAAACCGTTGATTGCTATGCGTTCAAAAGTTAATTTACAGGGAAAACTCGGTCTTAAAAATTCCCTTTTTTGACTGAGAAGAGGCGAAAAATTCTGGTAGACTGGGAACTAGTTCGCTGGTGCTATGACGTCACAACATTTGAATAATCGGCACGGCTGTGTCGCGAATCTGTTTTTCTCGTTTCTTCCCCGTTGACTATGAGTAGTGATTTTGAAAGTTCTGCTGGCAGTGATTCTTCTGAGTCCGAGGCAGAAAGTGATACTGTGCACGAGGCTGGTATTTATAATCCATACCAGTTTGAGCCGAGAGCAGAAGATGAAATCGCCGATGCAGCGGACAACACGGAGCAAGATGAAGACGGTTTGTCAGCTCATACGTTAGACCAGAGACAAGAAGGTCTTGTAGTCATTAATTCGTGGTGCGTAGACTTTTTGCTCCCTTTCTGACTGACAAACTATCTTGATCTTGAGTTCGTGTTATTATTAGGTGCAAATGTGGAAAGTGTGCAGTCGATTTGTTAGAAGGAGCGAGGGAGTTTCGTTGTTGTCAGGAGGTGAAGCCTGTGTTAGGTAAACTTGTGTTTGATGGAACGGCTGACCAGATCAGGTGTGTTTGCGACCATCCTGACTTTGCCCACATTACTTATCGAGCAGTACTTCTACTTTCTGGGCCCTTATTAAGAGGCAAAGACGGCAGACCGTATAAGATGCGTGGGAAGTCGAAAACATGTGAAAATGAGTAAGTGTTAA